TTTTGAGTATCAACAATTATGTACAATAGTTATTTATTTCTGTAGGAAGTACAAGCAGTAACAATAGCAACTCAAAATAGATGTCAAAAGCTGCTCAAGCTCATTTTCTAGCATTAATGTGTTCAAATTCAGCTTAAGGCATGATTGAACTGATTTATGGGCAGCACATTAGCTACTTGCAGGAACATTACTTCTTCTGGAGCTGCTTAAATTATGGACCTCAAAATTAAATAAAAAAAAAAAGAATCAGCCAAAGAATCGTAACTTCCAACAATAAATTCAGCCTGCTCTTGGTCTTCTAGAAGTAGAACCAAAGGGCTCACAACTAGGAGTGAATGTGAAGATGTAGAAGAACATTATAAACCAATCTGCTTCTTCAACTTTAATGAAATTTCATCCCTCAACATTATACTACATTTCTTGCTCAACAAACAGAGAAGACAGCATTTCTCATTATCACCTCCCCACTCAAAGTCAAGTCTTGCCTTGTCCATCCCTCCTCACTTCCTTATTCACCTTGGACACCATCTCCAGGAAGATCCTATTCTTCACCTCTGCCTTTATTACATTAATGTTGTTCAAATTGGGAGAAAACTCAAGCCTGTTTAATCCTACAATGGCTGATCTCTGTTTTAAGGCCCTTCATGCTATATATAGCATCTCAACACTCAGCTCAATGCTTGCAAACCCAAAAAGAACAAGCATCTTGGTGTTTGGACTCAGCTCATTTAAGTATTGAAGATAGACATCTTGTTTAAGCTCAACTACCTAGCAAGAAAAAATAAACTGTAGGGAGTGAAGACCTACCTGAGCCCAAGCTGCTTGTCAAGTGCTCAGTTGATTTGCAACCCAAGCAATACATGCAAAACACTGTATTCCAGTTTGAAAAGCAACAAGGTTGAACAAATCATCCAAAGTGAAATCATTAGGACACACCTTATATAAACATCCAATAAGCTGTCTTTTTGGTCCCCGTCCCTTTCCCCAATATTTCACTTCACAGAATTGTTACATTGCAGTCATTCACAAGTGTCTAGGGAATTTAACTCAAAAGACAATCAAGATAATCCAATTATAAGGCCAATTTGCAAGAAAATTAATAGCGTCTATCCAGAACAATAGTTGACACCAAATCTACAGAATGCTCCAGTTCCAAAATTCTGTGAGACAACAGATGCTGCTAGCTAAGAGGAGAAACCATTAAGAAGTTGACGCATGCTTGTACCTTATAAAGCAATCAGTTACCAATGTAAGGTCAAACAACCATATATACCTACAATTCCAAAAGGCAACTATTACCTAACCTAAAAATTCTTCAAGCATATCTTGATCTAAATCTTTACCTCCTGCAAACCATAAACACAACTCTCTTTGTAGTCTAATCAGTTCATTGCATATAGAACTACAATGGTCAAACTACAAGCCAAGCTAAATATTGTGAATAGTACAACATGTTCCTAGCTAAGTTGAAACTTGACTTCCAAATTACCTACATTCAAAGAAGTTAAAAGTTAAAACTTAAAACAAGGTCATGACAAGATAAACCAACATTGTCAGTACCACTATAGCATTAGAGATTCAAGAATCTCAGATACAATTGACAGTTATCCTCCTGGTAAACCTTAGAAATCACCATCAGCCACGTATCTTGATCAATTGCATTTCCTTTTGCTATACTATTTAAAACCATCAATAATAACTTTATGTTCCTGTCCTGACACAACCTAGGGACAAATTTATGTATACTTGCACAATGCAGCACATAGCCCTTGAAAATCATCCCATCCAAAACGAATGCTGCTTCCTTGAACTGCAATCCACCACAAAGCCCCTCAAAAAGCAACCTATATGACACAACATCAGGTTTACACCCCTGCCTTGGCATAATCTTCAAATAAATCATTAGCTTCACTCCACCTCCCTTCCTTGCACAATCCACCAATTAACATATTATAACTAATAACATCTGGTTTACACCATTTCTCTGCCATATCTTCAAGAACTCTGTAAGCTGGTTCAAAATCCTTCACCTTACAGAACCCATTAATCATCATATTGTAAGTAACCGTATCCGGTTTACACTCTTTTAAAGCCATTTCCTAAAAGATCCCAAGAGCCTCCTCCTGCCTCCCAACGTTAAAAAGACCACTAATTAAAGTAGAATATATAGCCAAATCTAATTTCATCTTAGTCCTAACCATTTCCTCCTTAAGCCTAATTGCCAAGCTCAACTCACCAATCCCACAAAGCCCTTTAATCATTGTGGTGTAAATACTTGCATTGGGACGCAAACCACGAAGCCTAACCATATCATCCTTCAACTTAAATGATTCCTTTACCTTCAACTCCGTACAAAGCCCATGAATCAACGTCCCAAATGTCACCACATTTGGCTTAACACCTTTTCTCTGCATTTCATCAAACAGGTTCCAAGCATCATCCAAGCACCCACTTAAACAGAGCGCACAAATCTATATATTATAGGTGCAAGCATCCGGGTGGGCATATTTTTCTATACCCAAAAACACTTCATTCATGTTATCAAACTTTTTGCTCAACAAAAGCACGTTCAACAGCGAGTTCACAGACTTTACAGTCCTTTGGCAACCATAGTCAGGCATTTCGTCGAACAACTGCAGTGCACGTTTTTTCATGGCATTGCAAAATATGATCTCTTGTGGGTCTAAACGGGTATCATTTTTCAGCTGGTGAAGAACTTATTCCATTTTATCAAACATTCCGGCCCTGCCAAACTTGGTTCTGATAAGAGGAAAGCGAGGAGTAGCGGAAGGGTTTACCGGGAGGTTTGGGGTTTGGGTTCAGGTTTTTCAAAAGGTTGAAAGCGAGGGTCGGGTCTTTTTGGCTGCGGAAAAGGGAGGAGAGCCTAAAAGGAGAGATGGGTTTTTGAGTTTTCATGTTTTTTTTTTTTATGCAATTCCCGCTTAACCTAAGAAGTCTACTAAACAATGAGTTCAAAAGTCCTAAATATTCAAGAAGAAAGACAAACAAATTAACCCCACAGCAAAAATTCAGAGTTTATGCTACCAACCTGTACCATCACACCTCAATTCCTCGCAAGCAGAACAACCCTCCACCACAGCATCGACAGCATTGAACCCCTTATCGACTGCCTTCCAAGCAGCTCTCACAGCCTCCAGGAAAGGCCATGTGCTCACCACTACGGGTACTTCCCTGAATTCCCAACCCCTTCATGTCCTATCACCTGATAACCAATATGATGTATGATTCCGAGAAATAACAATAAAAGATCATCAATTGAAAAAGACGAACCCAAACCCGTATCACAAAAAATCAAGTAAAACAATCATTTTTCAATGATTACCAAGGAAAACAAAGTGAAGAGGAAGACAAGTGAGATGGACAGGTTCCCGGGAGCCATTTGAAACAGAGGAGTTCAGGATCCTGCAAAGAAGGAGTTGTCTTATTTTATGTTTTAGATCATGTTCCGTAGAACTTAGGTGGACCTGCAGGTGAAGGTAGGTAGTAAGGCAAGAGCACTAGTTACCTTGACCACGTGCGGTCACAGACCAATCAAAAATCTTATGATGGGTTTTGTGTTATTTTGAGGACGAAGTGAGGGTTTTTTGTGATTTGATCACGGGATTTAAAATGTAGGAAAAAGAAGCGGGGTTTCGAGGATAATGGAGTGTGCCACTAACCGTCTTAACCGTCACTTGAACAAGAGTGGGAAGGCGGATCCTCTGCAGTTGCAGTTCTGTAAATCCCCCATTGTCTACTTTGACCTGTCATTCTCTGAGAGGCCGAAAGGAATGTTGTTGCTGATTTGGGGAGGTTACATTGGCGGCTTCATTTTGCACCCAGGAAGCTCCTCCAACAAAATCAAAGAACAAATAAATTTGAAAAATGGAAAAGAAAAATCAGACTTTGCCTCTGTTTCATTTGCCAATAAGAACAAAATGAAAGAGAAGCCAAAAATACAGGTAATTTAGCACTTTTGAAGAGGATTAGTAACTTGGGGTTTCTAAATTTGTGGTTATAAGTAATAAAAGAGAAAGTAAAGAAGAGAATAAAATTCTTGAAATGGAACGTCAAAGTGAAGGAACATGCATAAAGAAAGGGCCATGGACTGCTGAAGAAGATGAAGTCTTAATGAACTACGTGAAAAAGTATGGTCCAAGAGGCTGGAGCTCCATTCGATCCATGGGACTTTTACCCAGAACTGGAAAATCTTGTCGTCTTAGATGGGTTAACAAGCTTAGACCCAACTTGAAGACGTAAGTTTCTTATCGCTATCTCCTTAGAATTCATCTTTTTTTTTTCCCAAAAGTAGTCAAAAACTTATTTAATGGAAGATATGACATTTTGTCTTTGTTGCATTTGTGATCGACAGGTATTGATATGTTTTTAATAAGTAAAATGTGTTTGCTAATTAATTTTTGAATTCTCGTAGTTGGTTTTCTTGGTTTTGAAGAGAACTGTTGTTTATGAAATTGCAGCAGCTAGTAGAAAAATATAGAAAATGATTGCTTTATCCTTCAATGTTGCTAAATCTGTGCTGTTGTCCATGGTGGGTTTGTCAGGGTTAGGCCAAAAATTTTGTAATGATTGCTTCATCCACTATTTTATTGCATGATTAGAGTACAGCTAATAAACCATGTAATCCTTTTTTTTCTTTTGGGAAAACATTGTACCTAGTGGATGCAAATTTTCAGCAGAGGAAGAGAGGTGGTGATAGAATTGCAGGCACAGTTTGGCAACAAGTGGCGAAGATTTCGAGGTATTTGCCAGGAAGAACAGATAATGACGTGAAGAATTTCTGGAGTGCTAGACGAAAGCGGTTGGAGAGAATTTTGCAAACGCCTACATCAATTTCACACAAGAACAAAGGGAAGGATCCTGTTCTCCATGAAATGCCAATGGTGGAGGTGAGGAATTGAAGGGAAAATCAAGAGCTAACAAGAAAGCTTTCTTTTTCTTCTATGATACGTGAAGCCTGCTCTTTTCACGCTATTTCATGTGATGTGTTGGATACTTGGACTTTCTAACCTTTTAGGTTTCTTGAACTTGTGTGTATTAAGTTTCAGGTCCCGCCTTCCAACTTCATTCCAGTAGAGCTGGGGTCATCATCTCACCATGATCAGGCTAAACGTCCATCCTTTTCAGGAAATTCGAAGATTCAGGATGGTGCCGCTACCTGATCTGGTTCAGCCAGACTTCCCAAACTTGGAAACAGGCCTTCCCATACTTGACATTGCAATCATTCAGATGATACCATCCATTGAGCCCTCTGCAAACTACCCTGTTTCTCTACTACCGCAACTACAACTGGACCTCCCAAGCTTGCCACAATGCCAGGACCTTGCCCCAGAACCCAATGGTCTCAACTTTGAGGGCATGTTCGAGCATCAGGAGGTTCTGAATCTGACAGTAAACCAAAATGGTTCGCCAGTTTTCCATCAACTGGAATAAACAACAATGCTCAAATTGGGAAGAAGGAAGACAGAAGAAACCCTGCAATCCCGGATGGCTTCTTTGATGAATTTCCATCTGACATGTTTGACTACCTCGATCCTCTTCCGAACTCATCAGAGTGGTAATCGTATGCGGTGGAGCAGTTGTGCTTCTATTTTCAGTTCTAACCCATGGGACTTTCCTACTATATATACAACCCATTCTTGAGTAAACTGCCTACTTTGCTAGCCTGACAGCTCAGGAGTGAAACAGTGACAATTGATATCTGTCAATTAATGTTATATATATTGTTGTTATCTTAAATTCAATAGTGCAAAGAGTGAGAGATATGGATTCAAAGAACTTTATCTTCTGTTTGTTAATATTACAGAGGATTCTTATCACCATTGCCAGTGATACTGTTAAAACTTAAAACACAAAAGGCTTTGAATATAATTATTTCTAATTCACCTTCACTAGGTTTTAAATAGAGCTTCAAAGACTTAACTCTTGTTTTCATGAAAAACAACCAGCATTTCAGGTCCAAGCAGTCACTTAGAGTTAGGCATATTTCATTTCATCCCTATCCAAAACTAGAAAGGCATTTCATTTCCTATCCAAAATAGACAATGTTGCAAAGGCAGAATGAATATTTCTCCAAATACAAGTTTACTAAAAAGAAACTCCCTAATGACTAAAATGTACAGGAACAGATGCACATGCTTCCCCAGATCTGGCTGCCAACAAAATATCCTCCACTGCATAATAATCATCTTGACCAAATTTTTTGAATTTCATCCCAAGAGATGATTGATCTTGCCAGGCACCTTTTACAAGGCATGAGGAAAGGGGTTCTTCTCGATCATCACCAGACTGTCTCATTAGCATCTGTGAATATGGGATTGTGTTGTTCTATGAGGCATTGAATAACCTCAATTGCACCAAAATCGACTGGCATGCCATCATCCAAAGGAATGTGGGAGGAAGCATCCATATCTTCTCCGTCATCTGTAGCCATATAATGATGAAGGAAAATGAGAACTTCTAGTTGTTTGACAACATTTTTAGTCACCATTTCTTCAGAACAAGGATAAGTTGATGCAGGGGTATCCCATTAATAGAAGGGTCAAATCAACAGAGGAACCATTAGTATTAGAAAAAAGAAAAGAAAAGAAAAGAAATGTATATTGGGAAAATTTTGGCAGCCAAAGGAGGTTTTAGGTCCCAAGAAAAAATGAGAGAAAGCAATAAAGAAGAGGGAAAAGGAGCAGGGGGGTGTTTGTGTCCTTTTTTTAACTCTAAAACAACACAATAACATTTTTAACTTAATTTTCACTATTAACAATCCTGTGATTAAGAGTTGCTTCGATAAGTAGAGACTGCATTCTATCAAATAAAATATTAGGTATTAGCTGTCCCTCAATAAAGTGGAGTCAAAGTCCAATTGGCATGCAATTATGCTTTCTCATGCACAATCTAGGGATATATGGACAGATTGTAGCAGATAGGAAAAGTTACCAGCAAGCATGTCCCAAGCAGTATAAGCAGAGGTTGAATCCATGCTACCCTTGGAAGGACTTTTTGGTGGACGACTCCAGTATTTCCTATAAGATTCTGGGTTCTGACCCTTCTCCCACATAATAACAGGAGCCATTTCCATAGCAAGGCTTCGGGCATCCATCTGTTAGACGATAAACAACCATTAAACATTATTAATAGGCACTATAATCTATTACATAACCAACTTCATGCACATGATTGCAAGTCATTTGTTTTAGAGGGATGGGGGTGAAAGAAGGGGCAGAGGACCTTTATGAAGGAACCAAGAAACTGCTTTATATAGGCATTTTGTTACAAAGACCATAAACAAACAAGCTAACAATGACCTTGATGGAATAAATTATCCATGAAAACTTCAGTGCTAGATCACGTCAGCCATAAAGTCAGTTATATCCCATCAGTGGTCCATAGGGGGAACCATATTATTGTTCAGTATACAGTAAAAAATTAAGGCTTGCAAGATCTCAATGATAATTTTCACGTATGTAAGAAACATAACCTTTGACAGTAATATTCCGCCCGCCGCGGCGCCCCCCCCCCGCCCCGGCCGGCCCCCCCCCCCCCCCCCCGGCGCCCCCCGACTTCGCCCCCCGACCTCGCCGCGGCGCCCCCCCCCCGGAGCCCCCCCCCGGCCCCCGCACCCCTGCCCCACTTCCCCGCCAACTTAGTCACGAACCACTTATAAAGGCAATGCATGCATGTATAATTTAATGTATGCATGTAGAGAGAGAGAGAGAGAGAGAGAGAGAGAGAGAGATAACTCCTACATTGTTAAGGACTGATTTCTGACTAACGCAAAGCAGCAATGCAGTGACAAACTCAAGTGTCATATAATTTACACTAGGAAGTTTCTTCAGTATGTTTCTCATAGCATGTATGCTAGAGCGGGCACCTTTGATCTCATTATAAAGCTCAAAGGTAGTCAGTGGCTCAGGAAGACTAGCAATGTAATATTTTGCTAGAGCTGCTACATCAATTGCACTCACACCCTCTGGTATTGAAGCATTGCAATCTGTGATACACACATGACGACAAATTATGATGCAATCCAAACAGAATAACTCACAGTCAAATTTGAGCATATAACATGCAAGATACCTTGGTTATATGTAGAAACCAATTGCTGAATGACCTTTTTATCTCCTTCAGCTTTAAACAAGTATTGCGAATTTAGACCTAAAAGTCAAACAAAAACGTTACCCTCTGGAAAAGAGTGTATATTTAGTAACATTTGCTTATATAACTACCAGGTCCAATAGTTTTCATTTAATTTTCATTTGAGTTACCTGATAATATGAGATAATCTGCACATTTCACCAATATAAGCGGAATGGGCCTGTTGGATTGCTGCCGTTGTACAGTATCCTCAATAGGAACTCCAAAAACTGAGGACAAAGAAAAAAACAAGTGGCTAGCAACTATTCACTGCAACTGGGAATATCCAGAGAATACTTGACTTGAGTAATTAATTTAATCAATGAGCAAGTATGACAAGCAAAATGCGAAAACCTTTGCCCCTATAATTGGCTAAGTCAAAACTATAAGAATAAATGTTATTTTCACAGCAAATGCTAATTAGTGAAGCATCGGGCATAGAGAAGAAGTGAAAATTTAAGACAAGCATGGAGCACTGCAATACAATAAAGGCAAACTTTTCGCACTAAAAAGAATTGTACGAAAATGGGAAAACTAATGCATTTTAAAACTTATACTAGTTTAAATCAGAAGCATTCTCACAAGATGAGTATGGACTAAGAGTTGCTCAACTGCTAGGGCAATAAGAAACAAGAATTTCAATTTAAAGCAGTTCCCTACACCTGAATCAAATATATTGAAGACTTCTGCACTTGGTAGAAAAACTTGTGCATTAAACATGTCAGATGCTCCTGATGCTAGGTAATAATTTGGAATGGTAAGTACAGGACATATCAAGTTCAAAAGTTGGCTCTTGATATAGAAATTTCTTGAAAAACCACACACAAATTCACATTGCGCTCTTTAAGTAGAAGTACTGAAAGAATAAAGTAGAACCAAATTATTTAAGATTTCATTAAGAGAAGAGGGAAATGACAAGGAGTCCTAAAGAAGTCACCATCTGGGAGAGTGCACCCACCAAGATAAAGAAACTTACCATCAGTGCTGGCAACACCCTGCAAATAGAAAACACATAAAAATTCAGAAGCTTCAAGAAGCTTGAAAGTTCATGTAAGAAGGCAAATATAAAAGCAAATAACAAAATTAAAAGTAACACAATCCTATACCTTCTGCCATCGTTCTATATCTGTCAAAATTATCTTGCTTTTCTGTGCCGTCTTTTTTGCTACCTGGAACAAATTCACCATTACAAATATGTCATTCTTGACCATAACTTCTCTAGAAGCCTAGACTACACTAGTCTATTTCTCTGTTACGAATAAAAATGGCAAGTATAGATTACATTTTAACTACACAAGATCAACTGTAACATCAACAACTACCATTAAAACATGGAAAAGCATTAAAACATCCAAAATTCAGCAGTTTCTTGAAAGTATTGCAATAGCAGAAAAAAATGCCCAATTGCAAAACAATCAAACAACAAATACCCCTTCAGTGGGATACAAAAATTATATCTCTCCAGCATAACATAAATTTGATATGAAGACAAGCTTAAAAGGCGATTTACAAAGCGGGAGTGTGGGAAGACAAAGAACAGAGACAGAGTTGAAAAGCCATCGATCATAATCAAAACAAATTATCAATCACAGATGAAGACAGTAATAGTATAACAGCATAGTAAGGAATAATTTACACATCTATGCCACATGAAACAGGAACCCTCGAAATTTACATGACAGCCTCTCTCCCTCTCACGCAATATAGTTTCACATTAAACAAGACATAAAATAATATTTAAGTTGAAAATTAAAAGATATATAAAAATTTTCAATTTAAGTTATTTGTAAGCCAAAGTTTACCTCTTCAACTTTTGTTTTCCCAACAACAACCTTGTCTTTTGTTCCGGTGATGCCTTTCCTCAGAAAGGTTCCGGTCGTAGCAGCAGCCGATATAAGACTTTCCTGTACAGCATGTCTTGTCGCCGGCTGCCGGAGAACCGCCCATCGGCTTTTGACCATAGAACCAACTCGTTCCGCCACGTCAGCGACGTTGCCTTTAGCATCCTTGGCAACTTCTCCGACAAATGTTCCGGCCGTGTGGCTAGCTTCCTTCAGTTTCACCCCTGCAATCAAAAATTAAAAAAAAAAAACAAAGAAACATTTCGCTGATGTGGCAACAATAACACAAATTCAAGAAGAAAATAATGCAGAATTGATAGATTAAATAGTACCTGAGGAAGAAAAGAAACCAGTCGCCTTCTCTTGCCACTGCTGCGATACGGCTGAAGGCATCGCTTCCGATTAATAAAAACCGGAAATTAATTTTATAAGGTAATATATAAAAGAAACTGCAAAAAAAATTCAAAATTGAGAAAAAAAGAAGAGAAAATTTTTTCAGAGACAAACTGATGCTCTGATTTAAAAAGAAATAAGGAAAATCTAAATGATTAGTATTAATACTGTTTTTGGTTTCAAAAGAAATACTGAGGCCTAACAAATTCTTAAAGCCTTATTGGTGACAACCGAAATCAATAATCGGTGCAAAGCCCTCAATTTGACGGAAACTATTCACCTTCGCTGCAGCTTCAATGGAGCGACGATCAAAGGAGAGCCTTTCTTTATGCGAGTTGAATCGGGAGTTGATGGCGAAAGTTGAAAGTGGAATACTGCTTTTTCTTTTTTTTTCCTTTGTGTTTGGTTTTATTATTATTATTTTTTTAACAGGGAGAAAATTCCTTTTAAGATGGGAAGAGTTCAAACTTAAAATATTCAGCCAATAGTCAGTGATATTTAGTTAATGGTTTGGACAAATAAAGAAAAGACACGTGGGACGTTTCTCGGAGAATACGCGGACATGGTTCTGGATGGTTCCAACGATTGTAACGGCTCTGCTGCTGGCTGCTTGCTGTTCCTGTGGTTGGAACTTGGATCCCACGCGCCCGAAGAGCCGCATGCAGCATGACCAAATTGGCTTCAATTCTTAATTGTTTTTCTCTTTATGATTTTTAATTTTCCTTGATAAATTGGTTGCTAACCAACTTTTAATAAAATTATAAAAATTAATTTTCCAAAGGAAATGTTAAAATTTTATTACTAAAAAGTTTTTTTCTATTACTGAAAGTTGTTCTCTCTAGCTTTAAATAGTAAAACATGCTATTCAATTACTATAAATTTTAATACCTAAAAAATTGAATTAAAGTGCTGGTTTTAGTGTATATTGACTTGGAAATAATAGACTTTCTATTTAAAAAAATACCATAAGGGAGAAATAGATTGTAATTTAAAAATAAAAAAAAAAGAAGTTGTCTAGTTACTGACCTGTGTTTCCATCTGTTGAAAGAGTCCATTTTTGGTACAAGATTTTCATCCTTAGCTTTTATAAGATATGAACATGGACTGTTATTTGTGTACTTGGCTTATTGAAATTCAGCTTTTGATCTTCGCTAGCTATTTCCAAAAAAAAAAAAAAGTAATCAAGGGAAATAAATTTGTTAATTGAATCAAAATTATTCTTTAACGAATAATAAACTTTTTAATGAAAACCATTAATTAGGATGTGTCATAATTTTTTCGTAGTTTTCAAGATTTAGAGATTTAATATGAAATAAATATTTAAATTTTGTTCCTTAAACAAAATATTTGAATTTTGATTTCATACATACTTGGAAAAAAATGAGTTGAGAGATTATTTTTGGCCTAGGATTTAAAGACTTGGATAAGCTTAATTTTAGAAAATTTGAAACATTTTGAAAGATTTTGATAACTAAATAATGGATGCCTTATCGGTAATCTTATATTTTGTAATTATATATATATATGTGTGTGTGAGAGAGAGACATATAAAATATGTGATAACCATTAAATTTTAATTGAGTAAGTTTCTATTATATATATATATATATACTATTTTAATGATCAATTAAATAAATTGACAAGTACATATCTTTCATTAAAGAGAGCTGTCATAAAAAATTAAAGAAAATGTTGACTTTATAGTTTAGTGTTGCATTAGATGACAAAGCTAGCTTTGTTGGAGTTGATAGTCCAATTTAATATTTCTTGACTTTGGATGGTCTAAAATGGCTTGTTCTAGGGGTTAATTGTGCTTAACATAAAAAAAAAAAACCCATCATGAGAGAGAAAGAGAGTGCTAGGGAGAGAGAGGAAAAAAAAAGCGAAAGGCTAGGGTAGTTGAAACGCGGGGCAGCCGAAGAGATTTATGGTACTATGGGGAAGGGAAAAATGTTAAGGAAGACTATGGAGAGGTTAAGAGGAATGAGTTTAAGGAATTTAATCGGTGGAGAAGGAGTATGTTCACTGCGTTCGTGGACAACATAGGAATGGAGACAAGGTGGAGTGACTTAAAAGGGCTTTTTTGACCAGTTTGGAGTGGTTGTTGATCTCTTTACTCCAAAGCTGACAAGATTTAGAGTCTCAAGATATGCCTTTGTTAGGTATCGATCCAAATCAGAGTTATATAGAGTAATGGAACAAGGCCAGGCTATCCCTCTTATTGGGCGGCACCTTTTCATTAAGGAAACGGATAAGATAGGTCCCAAAGTGAGGGCAGAAGGCTATGTCTGGAATAATGGTCGACGTCCAAGAAACATAAAGGTAACAGACAGGTCCTTCAGAGATGTGGTAGCGGATGGAGCGAATAAGGAGCAGGGACAAGTGGGAACTAAAAGAGTGAAAGAAGGAGTGAGTCATCATGGTAGTCAGGAAGGGAGTAAGCTCGATGGGATAAGAGTTTCTATTAATGAGGAGGAAGTGGAATGGCTATAGAGAAGTGCGATGGGCCAACTCAGGAAACCTTGTTACTGCGAGGATATAAAGTGTTCCCTATCCGCGGAGGGGGTGAGAGCGACTGTAAGACCAGCTGGGGGCCTTAACGTTATCATCACCTTCGATGCGTAGTGTACTGATTAATGGATGGGCCGTTTTTAGCAGATACAAAAGCATCCTGGAGAAGTGGTTCGAAAGCTTAAGCGTATAGTTTGGAGAAGGATGATCGGAAGTATAAAGTCTGGTATTGTGGAGGAATTACCGCCCATCTATGGAATTTAAAGATCTTTAGGGCAATGGGGACACATGGGGTCGTACATCAAAACTGATACATACACGAGGAGAAGAGATAGTTGGAGGGGGCAGTGTTTCAAGTTGAAGTCTCAAATCAAGAGAGGTTCCTAAACCACAGATTCTTGTGAATGGGGTATGTACACAATGAAGCGAACGTGATTGGGTAGAGACAGTTGACGGAAATCAACCAGCTTGATGCAAAAGAAGAACAGAAGATTAGACGACTGAGGCCTTGGAAAGTCAAACTGGAAGTCGGTGGAGAGAGAACGAGGACACTAGTGAAGAGAATGACATGTCAGAAGGTACAAGGGAGGAGTAGGAGTTTCACGTGGGGCAGCCACATAGGAACCCCCCAAATAAGAAAGTACAGTTTGAACCTTGAGGACTATTGCTCTGGCAAAGCAGGGCATAGCAGAGAGGTTGTCAAGATGACAGTGGAAGAAAAGTTAGGAGGGAAATTTGAAATTAGGGAAAGAAAAGGCCAAAAGGAGAAGCGAACAAAAGAACCAAAAGGGCATTGAGCAAAAAGGGTAAGATAGAAAAAAGAGCTATAGGTAAAGAGAGCCCGAAAGATAAAAGGGGTCAAAAAGCCCAAAGAGCTAAACTGAAGGAAAAGCTCATTTGTGACTCAAATATAGTGGCTAACAACAGATCCATGCAACATGTATATAGATGGGCTGGAATGGTTAAGAACAATGGTTAATGGATAAAAAAATAGGATGGTTAGAGGACCTATGGAGAATTACAAGGATTCAAGAAGGACCCTGAGTGAGTAAATTAAGGTCTATGGGCTTGTTTACCATAACAAAGGCAATATAGAAGTTTGATAGTAGCTGACAGAAGTGAATGGAACCCCACCAAGGAAGTGGAGGGGAACCCTTTGGGACCCCTTAGTGAAGTGCAAGAGGAAGAAAGAACAGTAAAGAAAGTAGTGTGTTAGTGAGAAAAGAGGAGTGTAGTTCAAAGATTAAAGATCCAGGCTTATCTATCTCGAATGTGCCTCTCATAAAGTTGATAAAAGTAAAAGTGCCAGAAAAAACGTAAAGTGAGGATTGCAAGGAATGAATCCTCTGGGAAGAACGAACTACAAGAGAGGAACAAGTAGAGAAAACAAGCAAACAAAGAGGAAGGAGAATGGTTATAGGAGAAAGGACTAACGGTGTAAGAAGAAAAAAGGTACAGGCCAGTATGGAACAAAAACAAGAAAAATTTAAGGTAGCCTAAAGGCTAGAAGATGAACCACATAATGGGAGACAATAAGGAGGGATCAAACAGGAAAAAAGAATGGTAAGGGGGACAAAGGGTGCTAATAGGAGTGAGTCTGTAGATGGAACAACTATGAAAGTAAAGAGTCTCTGATTCTGATACAAGCACAGCAGGAGGAATAAGGCATTATGGAGGGAAGCTTTAGCAACATTGGTATGTTAGTAATAATTGGGTTTGGATTTTGGGATGAGAACGAGGAAGTGGTGACGATGTTTAAGGACTGGAGCAGAAGAAGGCTGAAAACCAAGCAGGCTGAGAAGGCTTTTTAAAGGTGAGTGTCTGTGTCATTATGATTATCTTGTCTTGGAACTAAGAGGGATCGCAGGGGGAGAAAAAGAGGGCACTGAGGAATAATAAGAAAATGTAACCCAAATCTTGTTTTGTTCAAGAAACAAAAATTTAAGAACCGTTTGAAGGGTTGTATGAAAAATTATGGCAGAGAGAGAAAATTGAAGGTAAAGCCGTGAAGTCTGAAGGAAGATCGGGGGTTGTTTGTATATGGCAGCTAACTTTTTTAATTTGGTGGATTGCTTTATTCATAAAAACTTCATTCTCTGTGGGACACAAAGGATTCTAATAGTAATTGTGGCTTTGGCAACATTTATGCTCCAAACAATGAAGGAGAAAGAAGTGAAATGTTAACGAAATTAGGCAAATTATGGAGAGGTCGAGAGCCAGATGGGTGTTGGGGGGTGATTTCAATATTGTAAGATCTGATGAGGAAAGAATCGGTAGAAGGGACTACGTAGGGCAGCTGCAAATTTAATGAATTTATTAATGAATATAGGCTTGTTGATCTTCCACTTGTAGAGCAAATTCACTTGGAGCAACAAAGAGGAACTGCGTTTGGAAGGTTGGATCGATTCCTGATTGATGCGAATTCCTTGCTAAGAGCCCAATTTGATGCAAAGGTGCCTTCCCAAATCAATTTCAGATCATAATCCTATTGAGCTTAGGCCAGAAGTGGAAGGCCCAAACCTTTTAAATTTTCAATATACTGGTTGGACAACGTAAGCTTTCAGAAGTAGTGAAGAGTATTGGAAAGATCGAAGAGGGAGAATAGGGGTGAAGGTATTTGGCACAAACTGAAAAGGCTGAAGCCGTTCTGAAGATTGGCAGAGCAGAGAGTATGATAATTCTCAAGTCAGAATTACGAAGTAGAAGCTAAACTCCAAGGCCTTAATAGCTATTGCAAGTTGAGGGACGAATAAGGAGGTTAGGGAAGAAGTCATCAGAATAAAGTGAATTATGGAATGTTATAGAGTGGAGGAGAGAGAGAATGGCAATAAAAAATCAGAATCAAATGGACTTTGATGGGGATCGTAATACAAGATTCTTCCATGCTATGGCCACAGCAAGAAAAGAAGTAACATGATCCAACAAGTGAA